AAGGTGGGGGAAAAAAAGGAAAAATGAAAGATTTGCATTGTGGTAAATAATAACTTTATTTGTTGAAGTGCTTTCTAACCCCTACAATTCAGCCTCACTGAAATGCCAGGCAGGCCTATATATTTCTCCTGAGTCTAACTTACGGCTTTTGATGAGGTACCTGAGGTTAGGAAATAAAAGTGTGTCCATCCCTCATTTTTAAGTGGTGCTTATCCTTCCAAGGACAATGCGATTTACAGTCTCAAAAGGCAGAACTATATATTACGAAACTCAAAAAGCTCTTGATTTAAAAAAATTTTTTTTGGCTGCCTCACGGTGGCAGGGAAAGGAGAGTACAGGATTTAGCAAACAGCTAAATTATTAAGCTGATTTTGCATATGTGAAAACAGAGAGTTGGAGAAGGTATGTGCCATGGGCAATTGCTCACTGTGTGCTAAGCATCCTAGGAAGGTCATCTCTTATGATCATCCTAGTATATCTACAAGGTATTATTATATCTGTAAATAGAGCAGGAAATAGACTCTGAGAGGTTAAGAAATCTGCCCCAGCTAGTAAATGGTAAAGAGGGAATATGACTGAAAGCTAAAAGAGAGGATCAGCATCAGCTCTCAGTTTGGCTGAGGACAGATCATGAAACCCAGCAAAGACTTCATTGGGGAGGAGTGGCTTAGAGGAGGTAGAGAAGCTTGATGGGAGCAGGAGGGCAGAAGAGAGCAATGCGAGGAGAGCAGGGCAAAGTCCGAGAGGCTGCAGTGCATATGTAGGTTTGGGGAACAATGGTCTGGTCTGGTCCTGTGTTGATGGTACATGAGACCGTCTACATAAAGCAGGAGCTAGCTGGATTGCTGGTGCTAGTCAAAGTGTTTCTGTGAACTGCTGAGAGATCAGATGGCACAAAATTACGAAGAATTATTGGCTGGGCATGGTGGCTCATGCCTGTAATCCAAGCACTTTGGAGGCCAAGTGACTCCTCCTGAGGTCAGGAGTTCAAGACCAGCCTGACCAACATGGTGAAACCCCGCTTTAAAAAAAAAAAAGAATTATTTAAAATATGATTAGAAAATACAGCCCAGACCAAATTTCTTGAAGGGAAACCTCTAAGGAAGAGTTTGCCTCTTTTCCAAATGACAAACGCTGAACAGACAGCATTCCAAGCCAGAAATAAGAAATGTAGAGGTTTGGGGCCTTAAGGGGGCAAAGGCCCAAACTGGGTGCTAAAAGTGGCTGCTGAGCTGGCTAACTCCAGGCATTGCCCATTCCACCCAAGATGCTAAATATGTCACAATGTATGTATGAAGCCACAAATGGCAGTTCCTGCTTGCACAGGCAAGAGGAGAATTCAGGATATAAATTATCATGAATTCCAGAGAAAAGTTTTAACAATACTTTTATCAGGCTGAAGGAGATAAAATCCCTTCAGGTTCAGGTGAGGTGGTTCACTAGCAAGGTGGGACTCAAAGCCAGGATTTTCTAGACTTGTCCCAATGATAGGAAAGGGAAGGACCATGACCAGCAAACATGTAAAAGGCATTAATCATAGAGACAGGAGAAACTCTAGGCAGACAGGGGTGAATCCCTGGCAAAACCCCACCTTTGAGCTGAAAAGCATGAAACCCATGGTCCATAGTGATCATTTCTATCCCTGTTTGCCTGCTCTCTCCTGATTGGTTTTTTCTGAATAATGTCTTTTTACTAATTGGATGTTGCCTTTTCCCAAAACTACCTATGGCCCACCCTGCCCCTAATCCTGTGCCCATGAAGACCCCAGACTCATTTGGTAGATGAGAGAAGCTTGACTGGAGAGAGGCAACTTGACTTTAGAGGGACGGCTGGACTTTGGTGGAGAGATGGCTTAACTTTAGAGAAGGGCCAGCTGGACTTCAGGGAAGACTATCTGCCTATCCCGTCCCTTCTCCAGGTCCCCTCTCCATTGACAGCCACTTCCATTGCTAAATAAAATTATTCTCCACCATCATTCAAGTGTCTGTGCGACCTAATTCTTCTTGGATGCTGCTGGACAAGAGCCTTGGACTAACTGAGTATGGGTACCCAAAAAAGGTTCTCACACTGGCCCTTTGCCCTTGCTGGCAGGGGTCAGCTGCCCCCTGCAACAAGGCAAGGGGCCCACTGAACTGTGAAAACACACTGCTGTTGAAGCTCACAGATGGTGGAGCTTAGCATTGTAACACACTCTCTGGGGCTTCAGGGGTCACAGGCACCCCCACCTGGTCTGGCTGCAGGGACCCCATGGAGTCTGCTCCAGCCAGTGCCCAAAGCAGCCTGCTGGGACCTGCACTCACTCACTCATGCACTTCCTCCTACAAGAGGTTGAGTGCAGTGGTCAGAGTAAACCGAGTACCCCTGTTGCAAGTCTGATGAAGGGGTCAAGAGAAAACTCCTGCATCATCAAGACGCCGCTTTCTACAGCATGTGCTGTTCTTGAGTTTCCTATCGCTTCATAGGATCTCCCCACCCTCAATAGTACTACCACAAAAGTGTTATATTACTGCCCAAAATGGAAAAAAAAGTTTTATAGGCCCTGATATATTTGTTTAATCTGGCACATACAATTTATTGCTTACTAAATAAAATGGGCAAAAGAAATACCAAAATATTCATTTAAAACATATTCATTAATAAAGTGATTGTCTCTAGGGGAGGCCCTGGTTTTTTAGGAAGGATTGGTAGTGAAGGACAGAGCTAGGGCAAAAAGGTAGGAGGGAGATTTTTTTTTTAATTGCATTTTAGGTTTTGGGGTACATGTGAAGAACATGCAAGTAGTTGCATAGGTACACACGTGGCAGTGTGATTTGCTGCCTTCCTCCCCTTCACCTGTATCTGGCATTTCTCCCCATGCTATCACTCCTCAACTCCCCACCCCTGACTGTCCCTCCCCTATTTCCTCCCAATAGATCCCAGTGTGTAGTGCTCCCCTCCCTGTGTCCATGTGTTCTCATTGTTCAACATCCACCTATGAGTGAGAACATGCGGTGTTTGTTTTTCTATCTTGTGTCAGTTTGCTGAGAATGATGGTTTCCAGGTTCATCCATGTCCCTACAAAGGGACACAAACTCATTGTTTCTGATGGCTGCATAATATTCCATGGTGTATATGTGCCACATTTTCCCTGTCCAGTCTATCTACGATGGGCATTTGGGTTGTTTCCAGGTCTTTGCTATTGTAAACTGTGCTGCAATGAACATTTGTGTGCATGTGTTTTTATAGTAGAACGATTTATAATCCTTTTTTCACTTTTTTCCTTTTATGGCAATTTAACTTTGTGTAAGACGCAGGTATTAAATACGCACACACACACACACACACACACTCTCTCAAAATTTTCCTTTTGTGTCAGTCTAACTTTGAATAATATGCAGGTATTACACACACACACACACACACACACAGATGTCTTGATTAATCACACTTTGAGTAAATCAAAACCCAGGAAAAGTTTTACATTTTAATGGTATTACTAAGTAGTAATAAACAAAAGGTACTGAATAATGAAAAATCAATCATCCTGGCCAGGCACAGTGGCTCATGCCTGTAATTGCAGCATTGTGGGAGGGATCACTAAGGTAGGAGGATCACTTGATCGTAAAAGTTCAAAACAAGCTTGGGCAACATAGCAAGACCCCATCTCTATTTATTTAAAATAAAAATAAAAAACAATAAAATCAATCATCCCAGGAAACACTAACATTCTAGACCAACTTTAAAAAAAAAAATTATGAGTAGACATGAAAATGGTCAGTGTAAAATAAACCCTAAATTGTTGGGCTAGAATAATTCATGTATATATATTGTGTTTTTGTTTTTCTGTTTTTTAAAGAGACAGGGCCTTGCTCTGATGCTCAGGCTGGATGCAGTGGCATGATCATAGTTCACTGCAGCCTCAAACTCCTGGGCTCAATTGATCCTCCTTCCTCAGACTCTTGAGTAGCTGGGAATACAGGTGTGTACCACCAAACGTTGCTAATTAACAAAAAAAGTTTTCTTGTAGAGATGAGGTCTTGCTATGTTGCCCAGCCTGTCTCAAATCACTGGCCTCAAGCTATCCACCTGCCTTGGTTACCATGCCAGTCTGATTTTAGCCACTATTCCATTAAAAGAATAACAAGAATAACAATAGTTCCTACGTACTGAATATTTACTATGTGCCAACATCCTAGATGGAGAAAATCCCGATTAAAGTTTTTTGTTTCTTTTTTTTTTGGGACAAGGTCTTGCTCTCTGTCACCCAGGCTGGAAGGTAGTGGCATGGTCACGGTTCGCTGAAGCCTTGACCTCCTGGGCTCAAGTGACCAACCTGCCTAAGCCTCCTAAGGAGCTGAAACCACAGGTGCTTCCCTCCCCACCCAGCTGATTTTTTTTTTTTTAGATGGAGCTCTGTTTTTTTTTTAGTTCTGTTGCCCAGGCTGGAGTGTAGTGACACGATCTCAACTCACTGCAGCCTCTGCCTCCTGGGTTTAAGCGATTTTCCTGCTTCAGACTCCCAAGTAGTTGGGACTACAGCCACCATGCCTGGTTAATTTTTGTATTTTTAGTAGAGACAAGGTTTCACCATGTTGGCCAGGCTGGTCTTGAACTCCTGACCTCAAGTAATCCACCTGCCTCAGCCTCCCAAAGTGCTGCGATTACAGGCATGAGCCACTGTGCTCGGCCCATCCAGCTAATATTTGTAATTTTTTGTAGAGGTAGGGTTTCGCCATGTTGCTCAGGCTGGTCTCGAACTCCTGGGTTCAAGCGATCTGCCTGCCTTGGCTGCCCAAAGTGCTGGGATTACAAGCGTGAACCACCATGCCCAGCCCTGATGAAAATTAAACACTGAGAAAAACTTGAAAACTAGCTAGACTATGGATGCACATCTATTTATAATCAAATTTTCTCCCCATACTATGAAAAAGACAAGTCTTTCAGAGTCGTGGCACAGGGCCAGAATGAACCTCAACAACTAGTTCTGTGATAGTGGATACATTTTACTTCTAGAAACTTACCAATGGTGTGTCTTTTCCTCCCACGATGCTGAGACCAAGCCCTGAACGTCCCTTGGATATTTCTATAATCATTTCCTGTCCAGGGACAATGGGACATGTTGCCGGATCCACTGACAGAGGAGCCTGGAGACCACCTAGAAAAGAATTGAACACAGAGTGACTGGCGCGGAAGAGATGCAGCTCAGCCTGCATATTCCATCACGTGGGGAGTGTGGGCTTGCACGTGTTTATCACAGCACTTCTTTTCCGGCAAACACCATGAAGGAAAAAGCCGGGTTATTCCTGCCTTTTACCCAGGGATGACACTCGAGATTAAAATGGTAACTCCCCTACCCCTCAACCCTCAAAACTTCAATTTTAGTTGAAAGTTTAAAAATCTTATTTATTATTTTTGAGACAGAGTCTCACTCTGTCGTGCAGGCTGGAATGCAGTGGTGTGATCTCAGCTCGCTGCAACACCTCCTGGGTTCAAGTGATTCTTCTGCCTCAACCTCCCAAGTATCTGGGATTACAGGTGTGTGTCACCACCTGGCTACTTTTTGTATTTTTAGTAGAGACAAGGTTTCACCATGTTGACCAGGCTGGTCTCGAACCCCTTAACTCAGGTGATCCTCCCGCCTTGGCCTCCCAAAATGTTAGGATTATAGGCATGAGCCACTGCACCCAGCCAAAAGTTTTAAAATCTTAAAATAGAACATGAAAATCTTTATGGAAAAATTAGAATGATTAAATGATTAGGTACATAAAGGCCTATGTTACAATGAAAATAAAGGCTGCTATAAGAGGAGGTTCTGAGCTACAGAATACTAATTAAGAAAAGTACCTAAATGCTTTCAATTGGAGCATATCCGATGAATTAAATTATTAAGATGTATAAAGGATTGAATCATAAAGTATGAAATACCTAAAAACAGCAATTACCTAAATTTATCCCCAAATATATTAGATATAGAGTAAAATAAAATTCATCATCAACACAAGACTCAAAAATTACTTGCAGGGTTCACAGAGGAAAAGTTTATTTAAAGGTTACTACTTTTTTACAAAGGTTTATTTTTAAAAATAATTGTTTTAGGTTAAGTTTTTCCAAAAATGAGGGAAAAAATGTTTCTAGGCTAAGAAAAAATGTTTAATAACACCCATTTGGCTGGGCATGGTGGCTCATGCCTGTAATCCCAGGACTCCGGGAGGCCACAGTGGGCGGATCATGAGGTCAGGAGTTTGAGACCAATCTGGCCAATATAGTGAAACCCCATCTGTACTAAAAATAAAAAAATGTAGACAGGTGTGGTGGTGTATGCCTGTAATCCCAGCTACTCGGGAGGCTGAGAAAGGAGAACCCGGGAGAGAAAGGTTGCAGTGAGCTGAGATCACACCATTGCACTCCAGCCTGGGCAAAAGTGTGAGAGAGACTTTGTCTCAAAACAAACAAACAAACAAACAGACAGACAAACAAACAAACAAACAAAACCAAACCTGTTTATCCAGCATAAAATCTGTATACAGGCATTTTCCAGGTAACTGAACCTAACCCATTAAAAACTCAAAACATTTGGATGGATGCAGTGGCTCATGATTGTAATCTCAGCACTTTGCTAGGTCGAAGTGGGTGGATCACCAGAGGTCAGGAGTTCGAGACCAGCCTGGTCAACATGGTGAAACCCTGCCTCCACCAAAAATATAAAACATAGGTGGGTGTGGTGGTGGGTGCCTGCAATCCCAGCTACTGGGGAGGCTGAGGCAGGGGAATCGCTTGAGCCTAGGAGGCAGAGGTTGCGGTGAGCCAAGACTACACCATTGCACTGCAGCCTGGGCAGCAAGAGTAAAACACCAACTTAAAGAAACAAAAAAAAGCCCTCAAAACATTCAAAATGTTGAATAGTTTCAAGAGATGCTCATACAAATAATAATCTCCAGAGAATGTCATATTTTCTGATAACTAAGTTTGATCACCATGAGTATTGTTTCTTATTATACAATTCAGGAAAAGGCTGATGAGAGATGGCCCCATCTGCTGGTCAGCTGCAGCTAATGCACAGAACTGAGATGAGATCCAAACGCTCATTCAACCTATGTAAAAGCAGGGGTCAGCAGACTACAGCTGCGGCTTTTACCCTTTAAAAGCTTGAGAAAAAAACTCAAAAGAAAACAATGTGTGAAGGCATGTGAAAATGATATGAGTCTAAATTTCAGTGTCTGTAAATAAAGTCGTATTGGAACACAAACCCACTAATTCATTTATGCCGGTTAACTGCAACAGAGGTTGTGTGGACCATAGCCTAAAATATTTACTGTCTACTTCTTTATAGAAAAAGCTTGCCAATCTCTGGTATAAAACAAAAAGAAACAGGCTCTAGGTAAGCCTGTGGGGGTACTGGTCTAACTTGGTGATAATCACGGTCTTTGGAATGAAAAGGCGCAGGTTTTGGAGTGGCACAGAGGCACAGTTGAGTTCCTAAGCAGGAAGTTCACAGGAGGGTGAAAGTGGAGCTCACTTCTCATCAGAACAATGTATGTAACCACTATGTAAGAGGCTGTTAGAGAAACTAAATGAATAGCACGTGTAGGGTGCCTAGCCCAGAGTCTGCCACATTGTGGGCATTTATACATTGGTTGGTACCATCCAAATGGAATTTATTAATCTAAAGGCCTCCTGGTTAAGAGCAAGAAATTCAGGGACACAACCATACAAGTGCCATATTTAGAAGTAGCCTATGGCTGCGAGCACACTACAATGGCAAGGTTGAGTAACTGGCAACAGAGACTGTGTGGACCATAGCCTAAACATTTACCATCGGCTTCTTTATAGAAAAAGCTTGCCAAACTCCACTATAAAACAAAAAGAAACAGGCTCTAGGTAAGACAGAGACAAGGCAGAATATTAAATCGTAAACCTAATTTGCCTCTAAATCTTTTTGCAGCATGTGTATTTTATACTACATTTCCCATTAATTTACAATAAAAATGATGTACAATAGTAGCACACTTTCATAGGTGCTTTAAAAAGTTTTTATTGTTTTTAGGCTGGGTGCGGTGGCTCACACCTGTAATCCCAGCACTTCGAGAGGCCGAGGTGCACAGATCACCGGAGGTCAGGAGTTCGAAATCAGCCTGACCAACATGGTAAAACCCTGTCTCTACTAAAAATGCAAAATTAGCTGGGCATGATGATGCATGCCTGTAATCCTGCTACTAGAGAGGCTGAGGCAGGAGAATCACGTGAACTCGGGAGGTGAAGGTTGCAGTGAGCTGAGATCATGCCATTGCTCTCTAGCCTGGGCATCAAGAACGAAACTCTAACTCAAAAAAAAAAAAAAAAAAGAAAAGTTTACACTGCTTTTGTAACTGACTAGCATAGTCTCCTGAGTGAGAAGAGAGGAAAAACCTAGTGAGACATCCTGGAGATGGCATTTCTTTTCCCTCCTCCATGTTTGCCTCACCCTAGCCAGTACTGAGTCAGTCTTCCTATTTATTTCGCTCATGGAATCCAGCCCCGAACCTGGCTCATACCAAGCCCTTAAAATAAATGCTTGGTAAGTAATGAGTAAATGAATAAAATGTCTGCAGATTCAACTGTAGAATGATAAGCTTCATTTATTTATTTAATCATGAGAATGAAAACCAGCCAGGCACAGTGGCTCATGCCTGTAATCCTAGCACTTTGGGAGGCTGAGGTGGGTGGATCACCTGAGGTCAGGAGATAGAAACCAGCCTGCCCCGCTTCCACCAACACAGTGAAACCCTGTCTTTACTAAAAATACAAAAAAATTAGCTGGATGTGGTGGTGGGTGCTTGTAATCCCAGAAACTCAGGAAGCTGAGGCAGGAGAATCGCTTGAACCCAGGAGGTGGAGGTTCCAGGAGCCACGATGGCACCACCGCACTCCAGTCTGGGCAACAAGAGTAAAATTCCATTTCAAAAAAAAAAAAAAAAAGAGAGAATGAAAACCAGGAAGGATGATGAATTTCTGTCATCTAAGTACAAACATGTGATGTATATTAACAAAACTCGTCTACATTCATAGTCAGCATACATTCTTGGTAAAGGGCCAAACATACATATTTTGGGCATTACAGGCCAGACCGTCTCTGTTGCAACTACTGAACTCCATCATTATAGTGTGAAAAAAGCCACTGACTAAAACAAATTAGTGTCTATAAACCTGTATTTGTGAACATTGAAATATAAATTTCATAGAATTTTTATAAAATATTCTTTTGGTTTTTTTTCAACCTTTAAAAAGTGAAAACCTTTTTTAGCTTGTAGGCCATGCCAAACCAGCTGGCAGGCCAGATTTGACCCATGCGCTATAGTTTTCTGACCATATTCATCAAATGTGTTAGTACAACTCCAATGCTTCAAAATAGTACCTGCTTGATGAAGTTTATGAATTAATATGTATAAAAAAACATAAAAGACAAATACCACAGAGACTTCAGGACTGCTAAATTAATGCAGGGTTATGTTTTGCCATTGGTGAGTACTATCTTTTAAAGAGTCAATTTTTTACTGATTTTTATTCCACAAAAGCAAAGTAGGGCTAGGTACCGTGGCTTATGTCTGTAATCCCAGCACCTTGGGAGGCTGAGGCAGGCAGATCACTTGAGATCAAGAGTTTGAGACCAGGCTGGACACCATGGTGAAACCTCATCTCTACTGAAAATACAAAAATTGCCGGACATGGCGGTGGGTGCCTGTAATCCCAGCTACTCGGGAGGCCGAAGCAGGAGAATCACTTGAACCCGGGAGGCAGAGGTTGCAGTGAGTTGAGATCACCCCACTGCACTCCAGCCTGGATGTCACAGTGAGATTCTGTCTCTCAAAAAAAAAAAAAAAGCCAAGTGGAAATACCCATTATTTATTATAAAGTTCTATTTTCAATCCTTTGTCAGCATTATTCAAGCCAGGAATTTAAATAGAGAATGTGAATACCAATTTCTTTAAGCATTGAAAATCAACATTCTTCAAGCAGCTTATAGCAACATTTGTAGGGCTAAAAATTGGGTTTGATAGGCTTGTTTTTTTTTATTTTTTTTTGAGACAGAGTTTCGCTCGTTACCCAGGCTGGAGTGCAATGGTGCAATCTCGGCTCACCGTAACCTCTGCCTCCTGGGTTCAGGCAATTCTCCTGCCTCAGCCTCCTGAGTAGCTGGGATTACAGGAACATGCCACCATGCCCAGCTAATTTTTTGTATTTTTAGTAGAGACGGGGTTTCACCATGTTGGCCAGGATGCTCTCGATCTCTTGACCTCGTGATCCACCCGCCTCTGCCTCCCAAAGTGCTGGGATTACAGGTGTGAGCCACCACGCCCAGCCGATAGGCTTTTTAAAAGAGATATCACTCAAGACCTAAACATAACCTTTTGGAGAGATTAGAATAATAATCCAGAAGCCTCAGATTCATCCAGAAGCCTCAGATTCAAATAACATTTACTGAGATCCCTTTTTCTTTTCCTTTTTTTTCTTTTTTCCTCATTTACAGTATTTTAATCTTTCTTTTTTCTCTTTTCTTTCTTTCTCTTTTTCCTTTCTTTCTCTCTTCTTTCTCTTTCTTTCCTCTCTCTCTCTCTCTTTCTGTCACCCAGGCTGGAGTACAGTGGTGTGATCTCAGCTCACTGCAACCTCTGCCTCCCAGGTTCAAGTGATTCTTCTGCCTCATCCTCCTGAGTAGCTGTGATAACAAGTGACAGGTGCCCACCACCAAGCCCAGCTAATTTTTTGTAGTTTTAGGAGAAACAGGGTTTGATCATGTTGGCCAGGCTGGTCTCAAACTCCTGACCTGCTGAGGTCCTTTTCTGTTCTAGTGCTTTTATATTCAAAAAGTAATAGGCAGTGGCGATGGCAGAGAGGAGGAAAATGGTAAAGGAAACAAAGTGACCTATCCAAGCCCCAAAGCTAAGGAAGTGGAGGAAGCATCTAGACTCAGGCTTCTGCCTCCTGGTCCAGTTATCTTTTTAGGACATTAGGATCCCTTTCCTTCTCTAAGGCTTAATGAGCCAGATCTGCTCAGGAAAAGAATCATACCATAGCCTGTGAAGTCTGCATCTGTTGAATTGTATGATGAAGTTGGTGCTAATGGTATCTCTTGTGAACTGAAGGAGACTTTCGTTGGATATTTTTGCTGTTTCATCTGGCTGACAGCCTACAAAAGAAAGGAAAATTAGATGAATGTCAAATAAGGAGAAAGGAAACAAGAAAACACTTTAAAACTGGTGAATTGTTACCCAAAGAATGGCGCACTCCAATGATGTCTTTTGAGAATATAGGGTTGGAGGGATGGCAAGAAGTTAGGATGATTTATGCCCCACTCTGCATGCTTCCCTTGCTTCCCTATTTAACTTTATATCTAAAATGCTTTGAGGAAGGGCAGATCAAGGAAGGGAGGAAGGATAAATGCTGAAGATACTTTGTCACTGATCTGTACATGAAGCTGGGGGTAGGAGGAAGAACAAAAATTATGTTACAATTTCTACTCATTCTGATGAAATTAGCAAAAGTCCCTTTATGGACTTTGAAATGACTTATCTGTGCTGTGCACATTGCAAAACAATCTATGCTGGGGATGTCTGGAGCACCAATGTTGTCCATTTCTTCTGGACACACCAGAGTCAAAGATGCATTTGGTAGGTTAATTAAGCACAATTAGGGGCAAAGAAAACAACATCTACTGAAAGCCTACTAAATGCCAGGTATCAGTGACATTTAATTCACATAAAGGAACTGTGCTTTATTCACCTATGATACCCAGAACCTGGAACACAGTAGGGACTCAATAAAATCCATGATGAATGAGCGAGCAAGTGAATGAGTGAAGAAAGAAAAGCAAAACTGCACACATGAGAAACTCAGGTAGAAAGTCAACTTGCAATTCAATAAAGGTACAGGGACCTTGCTGTGTGAGCTTGGGAAAAATTAACTCGCAATTCTGGATTTTTGCTGACAGAAGCTCCAATGAATATTAATATTAAAAAACTAAGAAAAACCAAAAGGACTCTTTGCTTATTTAACAGGCAGATAAGAAATATAGGTAGTAGCCAGGCGCAGTGGCTCACGCCTGTAATCCCAGCACTTTGTGAGGCCGAGGCGGTGGATCACCTGAGGTCGGGAGTTCGAGACCAGCCTGGCCAACAAGGTGAAACCCCCATCTCTACTAAAAATACAAAAATTAGCCAGCATGGTGACACACCTCTGTAATCCCAGCTACTCAGAAGGCTGAGGCAGGAGAATCCCTTGAACCCAGGAGGCGGAGGTTGCAGTGAGCCAAGACCGTGCCCCTGCACTCCAGTCTGGGCAACAGAGCGAGACTCCATCTCAAAAAAAAATTATGTATATGTATATATTATATATATTTATATATACAATATATTAATTATATATAATATATATGTCATATATAATATAATATATATGTTACATATTTATGTATTATATATATATTTATATAATATATAAATATATAAAATTATATATATATATAACAACCTGACCTGCCTCTGGATCTGCAGTTAGCTAGGGAACTCATGCCCAGCTGAAGTCCGGTAGTAAAGTACAGGCTGGCCCTGGAGTCTAGAAATAGGACCAAAATAACTGCTCTAGAACCATAACACCCCAAAATTCTGTCTGTGCCTCAATGTAAGGCATTGTGCAGTGTGCAGTCACAATGAAACAATATCACCCAATGTGCATATGGTTTTTATTTTTCAAAACACTTTCACATCCATAAAGTCATTCAATCATGAAAATAACCCTGCCAGTTAAATATTACTTTTTTTTTTTTGCAGACAAAGCAAGCATAAATGTCAAGTGACATATCTGAAATCATGCAGCTAATTAGAGAAAGAGGTAGAACTGGAAGTCAATAGTTGAAGAATGCTGCAAGCTTAAAGTGTTTATCAAACAGCTGATAGGCAACGATTCTATGTTTTTTCCTGCAGTTTTTCTATCATTGTCTTTTTTTTTTTTTTCTGGACAGAATCTCACTCTGTCATCCAGGCTGGAATAGTGGCATGATCTTAGCTCACTGAAGCCTCAATCTCCTGGGCTCAGGCGATTCTCCCACCTCAGCCTCCCAAGTACCTGGGATTACAGGTATACACCATCACGCCTGGCTAATTTTTTGTATTTTTAGTAGAGATGGATTGGGTTTTGCTATGTTGCCCAGGCTGGTCTCAAACTCCTGGACTCAAGCAATCCACCCATCTCAGCCTCTCAGAGTGCTGGGATTACAGGCATGAGCCACTGTGTTCGGCCACTATTACCATCATTTAATACTGACCATATACTTAGTTAAAAAGACATATTAAATTACACATTTATGAGTGATTTTAAAAGGAAGGAAGTAGAAAAGACAAATAAGAGGTTACTATAAGAAAGCTGAACACTGAGAGGACTTAGATATCCATTTATTCTAAGGACCACATTTACTAGCCTCATTGAAGCTACATGTGCCAACAGACTAAGTTCTGGTCAATGGGATGTAAACAGAAGTGAAAGTACAATTTTTGGATCATTCTCCTAAGGAGGAAGATCCTGCCTTCCCCTTCTCACTGCTTGAAATGCAGATGTGTTGGTGATAACTGAAGCAGCCCTCTTAAACAAAAGAATGGATGCCATCATTTGAGGATGGTAGAGTAATTAAGTAAGAATAATCAGATAAGAGTACAGTAATTAGATAAGAGGTGGTTGGGTCTGCAACACTTTGGAGACACCATATCATCCCCAAACTGACCACACAGACTTATGCAAAAAAAGAACTTCTTGCAGAAATTGAGCCTGTATTTTTTTTCTTTTTTTGAGACAGAGTCTCGCTCTGTCACCAGGCTGGAGTGCAGTGGCACGATCTTGGCTCACTGCAACTTCCACCTCCCAGGTTCAAGCAATTCTCCTGCCTCAGCCTCCCTAGTAGTGGGACTAGAGGTGTGTACCTCCACGTCTAGCTAATTTTTAGTAGAGACGGGGTTTCACCATGTTGGCTAGGATGGTGGACCACATTTACTAGCCTCATTGAAGCTACATGTGCCAAAAGACTAAGTTCTGGTCAATGGGATGTAAACAGAAGTGAAAGTACAATTTTTGGATCATTTTGTATTTTTAGGTCGATCTCTAGACCTTGCCTTGGCCTCTTAAAGTGCTGGGATTACATGCACCTGTATCTTAACTCACACAGATACTTACCACCAACTTATATTTTGTATCGCCTCAAGAAACAACATGGTTTTCCCAACAAGGCTGGGTGCAAACTGCAGTGTTCTTCTATGAAAAATCACATGACTTCTAAAACAGGAAAGCACTAGAGAGAGCAATCACTAGATTATGGCTTTTCTACAGAAAAGAGATGATTGCTGCTTTCCTTTATGTCCCAGTTTCATGTAGCATCTGGTGCAAACAGGTGCCCGATAGATGTTGGTGGAATTGAATTCAATTTAATAATAAGGAAGCAGTCCATAGAATCCAAGTGAAATGCCCAAGCATATATACATAGAGGCAGGCCTCTAGTTGTCAGTATGTGGTGATGGATGAAGGCATGCTCCCATGACTCATTCTTTGGCACAAGACCAAACTACTACATAAGAAAGACCAGAAAGAATGGATTTGCTGTTCTATGTTACTCTATTAGATTATAAGAACTGGGATGAACTTTATAGGTCATCAAACCTAACTAAACCTCTTATCCTGTTTCATAATAGGAACACCTATGGAGCTTTTAAAAATTACAGATGCAGCTGGGTGTGATGGCTCATGCCTCTAATCCCAGCACTTTGGGAGGCCGAAGTGGGAGGATCAAAAGGTCAGGAGTTTGAGACCACCCTGACCAACATGGTGAAACCCCATCTCTACTAAAAAAAAAAAATACAAAAAAAATTAGCCAGGCATGGTGGCAGGCACCTGTAATCCCAGCTACTCAGGAGGCAGAGGCAGGAGAATTGCTTGAACCTGGGAGGTGGAGGTTGCGGTGAGCTGAGATCACACCACTGCATTCTAGCCTGGGTGACAGAGTAAGACTCCATCTCAAAAAAAAAAAAAAAATTACAGATGCTAGGATCCCCATTGCAGACAAAATAAATTGACATCTAGGGGTGTGGTACCCAGGCAAGTTTTTTTTTTTAATTGAGACTTATTGCTTAAGACTTAATCTTCTTTAAAGAAGCCTTGGCTTAAGAATCCATGGTTTAACTTGACAATAAGTATCAATAAAAAAAAAAAAACTTGCCTGAAATCCATATTCCTATATGCCAGTTTATTTAGTCTGGGATAGGGGTCCTAGCATTTGTGATTTTTTTTAAAGCTCCCTAGGTGTTCCTATTATAAAACAGGGTTAAGAACCACTGTTTTAGTTGTAAAACACCCTTGTAGTTGTATAAATATTGTACTCATCAGTGTTTTTCTAGGGAGATTTACACTTCATCAGGTCCTTATGATAGGAAAATAAAAATCACTACTCAAAAGAAGGTACATGTGGCTAAGTTTGCTATCACTAAGTAGCTGTGTGACCACAGACAAGTCACTTGACCACCTCATCTATAAATTGGTGACACATCTATATCTTGCAAGGTTGTTGTAAAGATTAAAGATAAATAAACCCATCGCTATGCCAGAAATAATTTAGGCTCAATTAATAACAGCTATTAATGCTTCTATGTCCTTTTAGAACATATCAATAAATGGTTGGCCAGCTTCTGATTGAAAAACCTTCAGGGATGAAAAATTCCACTTCCATGAGGAAGTTCATTCTATTCTGACGCAGCTCAAAGGGTGGAAATGTTCTGTATAATGAGCTGCTGGCCTCACTGCAGATGATGCCCACTGACCTCTGGCCATTTCTCTTTGGAAGCCACAGAAAGGGCTTAAAATCACTTTCCCAAAGGAGAGTAATTAAGATGCTTAGGTGCTCACTGTTCCACAAGAAGAAATGTGGGATGATATTTAGGATTTGCTCTAGTTCTAAAATTCTGTGACTGTAATATTTTAGAGATGTTTGATATGTGCTTGAGATAGGTGGGAGTACATAAAATTTTGTTGGTCTGTTTGTTTGTTTTGAGACAGAGTCCCGTTTTGTCACCCAGGCTGGAGTGCAGTGGCGTGATCTCAGCTCAGTACAACCTCTGCTTCCTGAGTTCAAGTGATTTTCTTGCCTCAGGCTCTTGAGTAGCTGAGATTACAGGCAACCACCACCACACCTGGCTAATTTTGGTATTTTCAGTAGAGATGGGATTTTGCCATGTTGTCCAGGCTGGTCTTGAACTCCTGAACTCAGGTGATCCACCCACCTCAGCCTCTCAGAGTGCTGGGATTACAGGCATGAGCCATTGCACCTGACTGGGAGTATATAAAGTATTAACTCCTTAATGGTATTCGCAATACATTAAAGCAAAACGGCTCTTAAATTAAAAAAATTATAATTGGCCAGATGCAGTAGCTCACACTTATAATCCCAACATTTTGGGAGGCTGAGGTTTGAGGATTGCTTGAGCCCAGGAGTTTGAGGTTACAGTGAGCTCTGACTGCATTACTATACTCCAGCCTGGGTGACAGAGTAAGACCCTGACTCTTAAAAACTGCTTACAGATTTTCAGTTGGACTGAATTAGGTTATTTTTAAGGTTCGTTCTGTACATTAAAAAAAAAAAATTTGAGTTTTTACCATATAAGTTAAAGAATTTTCAAAGGCATTTTCTTTGGCAATGTTTGAAATATGTATTTCCTGTAAGCTCTAGTAATCTATAGTTTTTTAAATATAAAAATAGCTAACATAATAATAAGTTTTAGAAACATAAAAGCATAGTTCAGTACAAAGACATGAATATCAGGACTCAAAAAAAGCAAGGAAAAAGCTCAACAACAACAAAATTATCAACAATTTGCTAAAAGTTTTTGGTTCTTTAAGAGAAGTGAAATTCACATGTAAGGAACACTAAAGTTATTTTATAGAAATTCTTCCATTTGTAATTTTTATTTCCAACATTGTGTAAGACATGGTGCTCTCAGAAATTTTTTTTGGAGATAGAGTCTTACTAGATTGCTTAGGGTGGACTAGAATTCCTGGGCTCAAGCAATCCTGCCTCAGCCACCTGAGCAGCTAGGACTATAGGTATGCACCACTGTGCCTGGCTAGATAGAATTATTTAAGTGCAAGGGTGTTTTCAGGGATACCCTTTTACTATTTATTTATTTAAAGACAGCGTCTTGCTTTGTCACCCAGGCTGGAGTGCAGTGGCACAATCTTGGTGGCTTACTGCAACCTCTGCCTCCCAGGTTCAAGTGATTCTCATTCCTCAGCCTTCTGAGTAGCTGGGACTACATGCATGCACCACCACACCTGGTTAATTTTTGTATTTTTAGTAGAGACGAGGTCTTGCTATGTTGGCCAGGCTGGTCTGGAACTCCTGACCTTAAGCGATCTGCCTGCCTTGGCCTCCGAAAGTGCCGGGATTACAAACATGAGCTGGGATAACAAACCATGCCCACCCGGGACGCCCTTTTAAACACCTGTTTAGGGGGTTGAGGTAGACGGGTGAACACAGGATATCTGCATACAACTTGCACAGAATTTAGATACAGTTGTGGATTGATTTCAGGTTGCATAACACTCCACAACCTCCCATCAAGTAATAAAGGATCTGATCTCATTGTAATCACCTCCTTTTCTTTTGGAATGCACAATACCCTAGTAGAGTAAAACCTAAAGTACAAGTTATATACATTGTCAGGTGGGTATTCCAGTGCCTTCTGCTGATCTGCCACCATTCCTTGACCAATCACCTGGGACATGTCTTCCTGAAATGTAAAAGACACAACCAATTAGCAGCATTGCAGGGCTCGACTGCACTTTCCAATTTCAGCAGTTAGCACATTTAATTGGGCTTCCGTCTACCACAAAAATGAACAAAACATTGGGCATAAAAGTTTCATTCACCCACTGGACTAACTCTCAGAAATGAACGCAGCCTTGTCACTTCCAAATGCTTTTTCAGTCCTTTCAGATCTGTGAGGCCTTAGACCTATCAGATTTCTTTTCTTTTTTTGTTTAAGTAAAAGACAGGGTCTTTTTATGCTGCTGCTGGAGCACAGTGGGCTATTCATAGGCATGATCTCACTACTAATCAGCACAGGGGTTTGACCTGCTCTGTTTCCAACCTGAGCTGGCTCACCCCTCCTTAAGCATCTTGGTGGTCCCTCCTTGCAGGAAGGCACCATATCGATGCCAAACCTAGTATGGACACCCAATTGGCAGGGCTTGTTATAGCCTCAAACTCCTGGGCTTAGGTGATCCTCCTGTCTCAGCCTCCTGAGTAGCTGGGACTACCAGAGCAATAACATACTTGGCCAGATATCCTCTGATGGTCATTTCAGCCTGAGTTTTTTCTTCTTCTGTCACACTAATACCCCTACATAACTATCTGTTCAGGGCTCTAATCTGCAACTGGAGTTTTTTCCCCTTAAGATACTCAATTAGAATTTTTTTAAAAACACAGCTACAGAAAATACTGTGGGATAAAGGTAAGTTAGCTCTAAAACCCACGGAGGACTACAGCATCCAGAATTGGGAGAGAAGCAACTTGTCAAAACACATGGAGAACTGAAGCATAGCAAAAGGGCAGTTTATTAACTGAAATAAATAATAACACCAATAAATTGACCAGAATGTTTATGTCTGCATCCCATCCTATCCTATCTTTTTTTTAATAGGCACAGTTTAAGAGGAAATTATCATATGATGATTTATTCTAAGGCATAAACTCCTACAACTGGGCTTGGACAAAGCAGGGAACATGAGAGGCTGATTTGGACAGGAGAAAGCACGGGTTTACTCTGTCTCTGGGTGACGTCTGAGAGACACCCAGATGGTGAGTTGTACTATACAGACGGCAGGTAGGTAAGCTGATATGGCAGACAGGGATGACTTGCATAATGGAATGTTAGGAGTTTGTGATCCTAGGGGTGGTAGCTCACGCCTGTAATCCCAGCACTTTGGGAGGCCAAGGTGGGCGGACCACCTGAGGTTGGCTGGTCTGGCCAACATGGCGAAACCCCGTCTGTACTAAAAATACAAAAATTAGCTAAGCATGATGGTGGTTGCCTGTAATCCCAGCTACTCAGGAGGCTGAGGCAGGAGGAATGCTTAAACCTAGGAGGCGGAGGTTGCAATGAGCTGAGATTACACCACTACACTCTAGCTTGGGTGGCAGAGCAAGATTCAGGCCCCCTCCCGCCCAAAAAAAAAAAGAATTCTGCAAACCTGAATAGGTTATTTGCCCTCTTCAAGCCTTAATTTCCCCATCTATGAAATGGAAAAAAACAAGAGTAGCTATACTTTAGGGATACTGAAAAGATTAAAAGAAGTAATATATGAGTGCTGGTAACATCACACCTGGCAATTAAAAAATTTTTTATCATTATGCAAAACTATATATATATATATATTTTAAAGACGGGGTTTCACCATGTTGCCCAGGCTGGTCTTGAACTCCTGACCTCAGGTGATCCGCCCACCTCAGCCTCCCAAGGTGCTGAGATTACAGGCATAAGCCACCGTGCCCGGCCCGGCAATTAATAATATTTAACGAATATTAAATAATTGATGATAGTAAATGGAATTGAGCTGTGCTAGCCCCATCTTCTCAAATGCACTACAGGGAACTAGTGCAGGGTCTAGAATATGCACTCAGAACCACGGTGCTGACAGTCTTAGAAGTGACCTAGACAGGACACTTTTCTCCTTTAGGAAATGCTGGAGGCAATTTTTTGAGTAAGCAAGACTAACTTACTTTAGTATCTCACAGTATTTTTCTGCTGCTATTTGTTGTTGTTGTTTTTGCTTTAGTCGAATCTGACATTCCCCACCCCTTGTTCTTTCCTAGGCATGTTCACACACCCTTTCTTCATCAGGCTCCCATTAGATGTGTAACAATACAGTAGATAAGGATCCAGTTATGCCCAGACGATCATTATTATTACATTCAGTTACAATCCCATCCTATGTCCTTCATTCCCATTGATTTACAGCCTGAAAGAATTTTAATCCCAGTAAGCTCTCTCCCGAGACTGGAGCCTAGGTCACCTGGATGATTGTGCTACACTTAGCTGCTTACTTCTAACTTACTTTCTGATTTTGGGGGCCAGAACTTATCTCACTCGTTTAGATTCTCTTTAATTTCTCCCTTCTAGGAGAAAGATCCTAGGACTGCTCCCCTCCCCTTGTAAACTTTGCTCCTAAAAAGATATGATACAAAATGAACTCAAACATTACCTCATCTCATAATTCTTCCTTAGTCCCTGGGCGGTGTCCCTTCCACAACATGAACCAATTATTTTATCATTTTTTTGAAGATTATATTGTATCTTTTTACAAATGTGTCTCCCATATCTTAATATGATCAACTTTGTCATATTTCTTTCTTCAACAAATGGCAGAATAGAATCTAGGCTTCATAAAGCGTTAGTGCTGAATGAATCAAAGTTTGGGAACTTAAATCCTAAATGTACCCAGGTGGATTTGAGAGCCAGCCATGAAAGGAAGGTCACACAGTGAAGGTGACTCTGTGGCCTTTACTTTACAGGATCACACTTGAAAAGAGAAAAAAAGATGCGGAAAGGTCAATAGGCTCATGGGAATTTTTAAGAGGAAAAACTCTAACCTGCCTTGTAAACTGAAACTACCAGTGTTATTCCTAACCATGTGTATCAAATGGCCTTAGGAGGAGCAAAAGTAAGTGCCCCTGTTTGAAAGTGATACTGCAGATGTGCAATTTGACCTTGGTTTCAGCCTCAATTAACCAGTCCTTGGGACAAAGAATCTGACTTCCCTAACATAGGTTTAAAAAACCAATTTGCATATCACATGGAGGAACTACCAATTTGGTTTTATTCTTCCTTATCATTTGTACTTTTTAGTAAAAAGAAATGGCACTGGACGAACAGCTGGAAAATCTGGGTTCGGATTGGTTCTGCTACCAGCAGTAGCAGTGTTTGGAAACTCATTTTTGGAAACATTAAGAATGCAGTAACAGCTACCTGAATAAGGGGTTGTGAGCAAAGTTAAACTCAACACGTGCTTACTGAGCACCTACTACATGCCAGCACGTAGAAAAAGAAGGACAGAGGAGCCCTCGCCCTTAGCACATTTACAGATCTAGTGAGACAGATGTTAAGGAAATAATCACAGAAACAATGAATACAACTGAACGGTAGATGCATGAAGGTGTGTGGGAGCCTGAAGTGTCAGTTTCCTTCCTTTAATCTTCTCCTCATAAAATGTAGAAGGAGATGAGAAAATGTGATTTCTGAAAAGCATCGGTCTAACACACTGTCCAGTTTCTTATATTGATTACCCTTAAACGTCTGAGTCAAAGGATGGAGCTGGTATGTGATGATGATGAAAATTACGACGGCTAAAATTTCCTGAGTATGACTGTGCCTGTTACTGAGCTGGGCATGTTACACATTTGTTCATGTGTCCAACAGACCTGTGTATTGGGGCAATCATCACTCTTATTTAGAGATGAGGTAACTGGGGCACAGAGAGGCTGAATTATTATTTTCCGAGCCTGGACTTAACTCAGACACATCTTTCTGCAGATCCCTTGCTCTTAACTGAAGAGTAAACCTTCAGGGAAAGGGCAAGTTCTGTTTACCTCTCCCAGCAACGCACACAGGATCCTTAGCCAGCAATGACATAGGGATTCCATTTTTAGATTCAATATCAGGTCAGAACAAGTCATGCCTGCTTATTTTAAACTTGCGTTGGAAAAAAAAAATCATAGCACTAGACACTGCAGTGACCTTGGGTCACTTTCCTTCACGTTTTGTGTTTAAACATGAATTTATAATTTGCTAATTGCCCATTATGACACCAAAGGAGCTCTTAATGTCTTCAAAACAGAAGTGTGGGGACATTCTAATGTGTTTACTTTGCAAGGCACCCCTGAATAAGAAGACTAAAGAAGTGTTGTAGAAAGGTCGTCTCATTTCATGAAATAAACCGATATGACACATTTTGTCAGCAGGATGCTATAATCTACAGCACAGTCCTATGAGCTCCTGAAAGCAAATGCTTTGTGGGCCAGGAAAATTACTGTGAGTAAGAGAAGGAGCTTCTTAAGGGTGCACATAAAAGGCAACACTTGCAATATCCCATATGACAGATGGGTGAGATGTCCAGCTGACAATCCCCAAAGCTGATTTATCTCTGTCCCAAAGCTGGACAGTCAAAATGCCCTGTCTCTATGGCCACAGTAACTGGTCCAAGGGTGGACACTTGAACCACATAAGAATATTCTACAGATTTTCCAATGTAGACCCAAGGGAAGAGAGTCAGCTCTTTTCTGGCAGAGAGGCTTAGGAGCTTCAGGCAGCCATATGCATACCAGGCTGAAGAAGCACATCTGTAGGAGAGTCAGATAAACAGACAGAACCCTGGCAGCAGCAGGTCTCTGCTTCAAACCCCCACTGAGGCGAAGTGTCAACCATGGGCTGCCTGCAAGCATATGAAAAGCAAACAAACCAACCTCTAGCCCTTGAGTAAATTTCCCCTTTTGTCTAAGGAATGTCAAGTTGAGGTTCTGTCACTTGCAACCAAGGGACTCATTTTTTTTTTTAGTTTTGAGACAGAGTCTCGCTCTGTCACCCAGGCAGGAGTGCAGTGGTGCGATCTCGGCTCCCTGCAACCTCTGCCTCCCGGGTTCAAGCAATTCTCTGCCTCAGCCTCCCGAGTAGCTGGCATTACAAGTGCCCACCACCATGCTTGGCTAATTTTTGTAATTTTAGTAGAGATGAGGTTTCACCATCTTGGCCAGGCTGGTCTTGAACTCCTGACTGTGTGATCTACTTGGCCTCCCAAAGTGCTGGGATTACAGGCATGAGCCACTGCTCCCAGCCTGCAATCAAGAGACTCCTAATTGAAACAGGGTGGAGCCCTTTGGGAGGCTGATGCCCGTGGATCACGAGGTCAAGAGATGGAGACAATCCTGGTCAACATGGTGAAACCCTGTCTCTACTAAAAATACAAAAAAATTAGCTGGGCATGGTGGTGTGTGCCTGTAATCCCAGCTACTCAGGAGGCTGAGGCAGGAGAATTGCCTGAACCCAGGAGGCGGAGGTTGCAGTGAGCTGAGATCGCGCCATTGCACTCCAGCCTGGGTAACAAGAGCAAAACTCGGTCTCAAAAAAAAAAAAAAAGAAAGAAACAGGGTGGAGCCCATCTCTCCCAGAAGAGATCCACCAGGATAACAAACTCAGATGCATCCAGTCATCAGGCTCTAAGGCAGCCAAATGATGAATGAAGTGAACTGAGTAAAAGACAACAAATTAGGCCAGGTGTGGTGGCTCATGCCTGTAATCCCAGCACTTTAGGAGGCTGAGGTGGGTGGATCACTTGAGTTCAGGAGGCCAGCCTAGGGAATATGATAAAACCCCATCTCTACAAAAAATACAAAAATTAACCAGGCATGGTGGTGCACACCTGTGGTCCCAGCTACTCAGGAGGCTGAAGTGGGAGGCTAGCTTACATCAATGAACTTTTTCTCTACTGCAATGCTGTGGTCTCAGTGGGTTGATTTTGTCTGTATAGACAGCAGGAGAAATACACTTAAAAAAAACTTTTCCTGGATCAGTTCCAGCCTGATTCCTACTCATCTAACCACCTGGATTAGGTGAAATCACATTAGCTAAATTCCCACAGGCCAGGTGTGGTGTCTCCTGCCTGTAATCCCAACACTTCAGGAGGCTGTGGTGGGAGGATTGCTTGAGCCCAGGCAGTCAAAGCCGCAGTGAACTGTGATTACGCCACTGCGCTCCAACCTGGGTGACAGGGTGTCACTTTGTCTCAAAAAACAAGTTCCCACAGCACCTTACCTTGCCCTTCAATAATACTTACTAACATTAATAGTTACTTATTTAAAGTTGGATTCAAATCTTGGCTGTGGCACTTAGTAGTTGAGTGCCTCTGTGTCTCAGTTTCCTTATTTATAAAATGGGAATAGTAATAGACCAATTTCATATAAAATACAAATTAATACACTTAGAATGATGCCTCTAGAATGCATAGTAAATGCCATGAAAGCATGAGCTCCAGTTATCCTCAGCAGTTCCGAAGGCACCCGAAGGCGCCTGAAGGCAGGATTGTTCATTCTCACTACACCTTGGTTAGCACGGAGCTGGGGACATAACAGGCCCTCAATACAAACGTGCTTAATTTCTGAAAGAGAAGGTGGATTTATAGCTCCCTTGTAAGACAATAAAATCAACACATGTTTTAGAGTATAGGCTCTGATTATGTGGGCAAATAAGGCTTCCCAGAAAACTGACAACTTTATGGACTCAGAGAACAATGCCCAAGCAGAACTTGGTTCTGAGGAGCAGTGGGATTTTGAAAAGAGGGCATCAGACTTGTGTGAGAATGTCTCAGCTCTGGATTCTGATCCACTTCTCTGGGCCCTGAGTGCTAGTAATTACAATTGTGAGAACACTTTCTCGATTTAGAACAAATCTGATAAGTAAGTGATTCCTTCTGGGCAAGTTATATTTCAAGTTGAATAAGCCTCCACACTGGACCAGTTACAGTGGTTGGAAATGAATGTAAGCTAGCAGAGACCAAAGCCGTAAATTTTTTTTTTTTTGGAGACAGAGTCTTGCTCTGTCACGCAGGTTGGAGTACAACGGCGTGATCTTGGCTCACTGCAGCCTCTGCCTCCTGGGTTCAAATGATTCTTGTGCCTCAGCCTCCCAAGTAGCTAGAATAACAGGCACACGCCACTATGCCCAGCTAATTTTTGTATTTTTAGTAGAGACAGAGTTTTGCCATGTTGTTCAGGCTGGTCTCGAACTCCTGAAATCAGATGATCTGCCTGCCTTGGCTTCCCAAAGTGCTGGGATTACAGATAAGAGCCACCACACCTGGCCTAAAGCTATGAATTTGTGTCAAAATTGTGCGCCTAAATTTCTGCTGTCTTTGAGTTTATCAGGTTACTTTCTCTGTTACACTGGTGTCTCTACATTATCTTTATTTACTATGGCAAGGGGAAGAGAACAGAAGAAAAAAAGCAAGAGCTTTTCTCCAGAGACTTTCCTGTAGGATGCAGGCTTGACTGTAAAACCTACAGCCTTTTTATCACCAGGAAAAGGAAATTTATCATGTACGTAAATCTCAAGTGGTTTTCAGAAATACAAGATATAAAGAAAAATGAGCTGTGAAAAATGCCACATATTTGAATGCACTTGAACTCTGCCATTGACAATTTGCATACTGTCACAAAAGAGAAGCCAGTGCTGACTCAGTCACACTTTCCTGCTCCTTAGAGGGAATTCCCAGACCCCTGCTACAGATGCACTTTTTATGTTGCATCTGAAACAGCAAAAAAGATTTGCACAGTGACATCTGCTCCCAATAGCAAACCAGAAATCTAGCAGTTGTTGATGGAGTGCAAATTGGGGGTAAAAATAGATTTTAAGCATACAGTTCAAGATCTCATTTTAAAAATGAGTAGGCTATAACACCTGGGAATTCTTGCCTGGAAGTAAGACCTAACAAGAAGCCCATAATCATTAGAAACACATTTTAAGCTATTTTTTCATAAGTGGACACCGGCACTTTAAAAAATACTTATGAGGGCCTGGCACAGTGGTTCATGCCTGTAATCCAAGCACTTTTTGGGAGACTGAGGTGGGCAGATCACTTGAGCCCAAGAGTTCAAGACCAACCTGGCCAACATGGCGAAACCTCATCTCTACTTAAAATACAAAAACATTAGCTGGGCGTGGTGGTACACACCTGAAGCATGAGAATCGCTTGAACCGGGAGGTGGAGATTGCAGTGAGCTGAGATTTGTGCCATTGCATTCCAGCCTGGGCAAGAATAAGACTCAGTCTCAAAAAAAAAAAAAAGCATTATGGCTCATGCCCCATTTATACTTCAGAAGTCATGAGGTCCATAAGATGAAAAACAAAAACCATATCATCATCTCAGTGGACTTGGAAAAAGCTTTTGATAAACATACCTTCATGGTAAAAACTCTCAACAAACTCGGCATCAAATGAATGTACCTCAAAATACTAGAGCCATCTTTGACAAACCTATAGCCAATATCATATTGATCATGCAAAAGGTAGAAGCATTCCTCTTAAGAACTGGAACAAGAGAAGGATGCCCACTTTCACTACTCCTATGCAACACAGTACTGGAAGTGCTAGCCAGAGCAATCAGGCAAGAGAAAGAAATTAAGGCATTTGAATAGGAAAATAAAAAATCAAATTCTCTCCCTTCATAATTCCATATCTAGAAAACCCTAAAGACTGCCAAAAAACTACTAGCCCTGATAAATGACTTCAGTGAAGTTTCAAGATACAAAATTGGTCAACAAAAATCAGTAGCATTTCTATATGCCAGTAACATTCAAGCTGAGAGCCAAATCAGGAATGCAATCCCACTTATAATAGCCATGCAAAAAAATACCTAGGAATACATTTAACAAAGCAGGTGAAAGATCTCTATAAGCAGAACTACAAAACACTGCTGGAAGAAATCAGGGGTGACACAAACAAATGGAAAAACATTCTATGCTCATGGACTGGATGAATCAATATTGTTAAAATGGCTACACTGCCCAAAGCAATCTACACATTCAATGCTATTCCTGTCAAACTACCAACATCATTTTTCACACAAGTAGGAAAAGCTTAGCTGTAAGCTATGAACTCGCCACTGCACTCCAGCTTGGGCAACAGAGCAAGACCCTGTCTCCAGGACTCTTCAGTTTACAGAGAGATGTACTTACATTATCTAATATGATCCTCACTCCCTCTCATCTACCATCACCATATTTTCACCCATCAAGTTATGTTAGTATAGAACTGTCGAATTGAACATGGCAAAACCCAGTCTCTATAAAAAATACAAAAAAATTAGCCAAGTATGGTAGTGTATGCCTGAAGCCCTAGCTACTTGGGAGGCTGAGGCAGGAGGATTGCTTGAGCCCTGGAGTTTGAGGTTGCAGTGAGCTATGTTTGTGTCACCACACTCTGGCTTGGGTGACAGAGCGAGACCATGTCTCAAAAATTACATAAAAAATAAAAGTTGAAATTAAAAATAAAAAAGTCAGCCGAGTGAAATACATAGGTTCTGAATCCTTATGATAGCACTTACAGGCTCTGAGTCTTCGGGCATGCACGTTAACTTCTGGTCCCTCATCTGCAAAATGGAGATGACGATAGTATTAATGCTTTCATTATGGAAAGGACAGAGGTGGGGATCAACAGCTTCTGCTCAGTTCCTAACAAATGAACATAGAATCCAGGTGGATGGTATTGTTGTTATTATTGCTGTTTCCATCAGGATAAACGAGATCATATTTTAAAGTGCCCATTATAGTGACACAGATGTTTCTTCTTTCACAGAGACATCTAAAAACAGTCAAGAGTGAAGGTATCCTCTTTCCCCACAAATCTGCTCTTCCTCCTGTTTCTTTTCTCAGTAAATAGCATCAACCAACCAGCCAGCCAGCTGCCCCTGAGGGATCTGAGAATCATTGCTGCCTCCTCCTTCTGCAACTTTCATATCTGCATAGCCATCGAGTCCCGTCCACTCTGACTCCTGTGTATGTTGAAAATCTGTCTGTATTTCTCTGTGCTGTTCAGTCATCATTAACTTTCATCTCAGTTACTCTAATAGCTTTTCAACTCTCTTTCTGACTTCAGTTTTGACATTTTCTAACTTATTCATTATTATTTCTATACATATAAAACATATAATAATTATATATAATATATATTATAGTTAGGTATAATCATATTAAAACTATTATATAATATAAATAAAAGTCAAATCACTGGGTGTGGTGACTCACACCTGTAATCCCAGTAATTTGTGAGCTATGTCTGCATCATCACTCTGTAGTGTCACTTATATATATAATTATAAATTATATATAGTGTTAATTATATATTCATAATTATATATTAATCATGTATAATTATTTATATATATAATTTTCTTTTTGCAAAATTGACCAACGTATCTGATTCTTTTTTATCTTTTTTTTTTTTGAGATGGAGTCTTGCTCTCTTACCCAGGCTGGAGTGCAGTGGCGTGATCTCAGCTCACTGCAACCTCCGCCTCCCAGATTCGAGCAATTCTCCTGCCTCAGACTACTGAGTTGCTGGGATTATAGGCGTGTGCCACCATGGCTGGCTAATCTTTATATTTTTAGTAGAGACTAGGTTTCACCATGTTGGCCAGAATGGTCACAAACTTATGACCTCAAGTGATCTGCCCACCTCAGCCTCCCAAAGTGCTGGGATTGCAGGTGTCAGCCACTGCGCCCGGCCTAACTGATTTTTCCAAGGGCACCCAGAAAGATCTTTTCAAAAGTTTAATCTCATCTTTATAACCCCCTGTTGAAAACCATTCCAAACACTTCCCTTGGTATAAAGTCCTTTCTCCTGGTCCACGAGGCCCTCTGCCAGCCAGTCCCTGCTGCCTTGGTGACTTGGTGGTTTTTCACTTCCTGCTACTACATGTGCATGCCCATAGTTCTGTCTCTAGGATCAGCCCAGGCAGGCGGACGTAGGGACCTACGGTGCTGTCAGGGAAGCAGGCTGCGTTAGAGAAGGATGAAAAGGCAGAGACTGAGGTAAACTGAGTATGTAATTGAAGGGTGGCTTGGAACGCTGGTCCATTTCCAGTGGAAAATGGAAACCAGGATATTTTTTGAAAATCTCCTGATTCATAAAACTTAGCTCAAACATCTTAAGAATGTTGCGTAGACTAAATGAAACACATTTGTGGGCTGAATCTGACTCCTGACTCACAACCAGCTTGTGACCTTGGCGTTAGACCAAGTGTAGCATGCTCCTGGACATGAAAGAGGTCTTACTTATCATCTTTACATGCCTAGAGCTCGACACACTGCACAGAGTCTAAGAAAATGTGTACTGAATAATGAGAGCTCTGGCACACCTACATTTCATATAGGCAAAATATGGTATTAATGATAGCTACCACTAACTGAGCTTTTACTGCATGCCACGTGCTGTCAGAAATTTCTTTTCTTTTTTTTTTTTTTTTTTTTTGAGTTGGAGACTTGCTCTGCCTCCCAGACGGGAGTGCAGTGGCGTGATTGATCTTGGCTCACTGCAACCTCCGCCTCCTGGTTTCAAGTCATTCTCCCGTCTCAGCCTCCAGAGTAGCTAGGATTACAGGGACCTTTGCATTTTTAGTAGAGATGGGGTTTCACCATGTTGGCCAGGCTGGTCTCTAACTCCTGACCTCGTGATCCACCCACCTCAGCCTCCCAAAGTGTTGGGATTACAGGCATGAGCCACCACGCCCAGGCTGCATCAGAAATTCCACAAACAAAATCATACTTGCTCCTTACAAAGAAACAAGCACCATCTTCTCTAATTTTTGGATGAAGAAACACAGCAGACAGGATAAGCAACTTTCCCAGAGGCAGGATTTAATCTGTTCAGACTTCAGAGGCCACGATTTGTATCTGACAGCCTTTTTCATCTGGAAAAGCAAGTGCTCCCAATCCATGTGGCAATACTGGTGTTATTTGTAACATGTGACACTCACTGTTTAATAAGTAAGTATAAATTTTTTATATGGATCGAATGTATCAAGGTGGAGAGTAAAGAATGTTGGTATTCTAGCTGACAAGGGCTCTGAAATGGTAAAATGCACTGTCAGCTGCAGTGTGAATTTCCATGTCACAGCTCATTTAGGTTACTGACAAGTTACCCCGAAAACAATTAATGTTTCCTCAGGCATCTTTCTACCCTGTAAATTCTAAAATCTCCACAAAGAAACTCCAAGAAGAATGCTGCCCTGAGTGGTCTGGAATACTATCATTTTTGTATTCTTGCATTAAGGGTCAGAAATTATATTTCACAATGAAAGACAACAGTAAAGACAAATACCATTGAAAATTTGAGAAATCACAACCTTCTGAAAATTATTGAAAAATCCAAAATGTTCTTGAGGCAGCTGTACACAAACCAGGTCTGTAATGACAAGTGTCACTTGACATATCAAGTGCACTGCTCTCATGCAGTTGTACGAAAAGGGGGAAGTACAGTAAGCACATCTGTTTGGGGCAGTTCCAACACGGTTATCTTGGGCTCCTGGCCAACCTTTGGGATTAGGCTTGTTCTGAAGCCCCGGATACTATGGCAATTGCCATTTAAATAGCTCTAAACCTGCATTCAGAGGAAAGCTTTAAAGACCACCTTCAGACACAAGGTTTACATACTGGGGGCAAGGCATGTCAATTATTTTACTGACAACTCTCTGTGAAATTTACCTAGTAAACCCATACATTGCCTTGCTGAAGAGTCAAGCATGTTTATTTTATATGATTTTTGCAAAAAGACAAAGATATTTTGCAAAGATATATATGAGAATATATATTGTTCCCACCATCTCTTGTGGACTGCCACTGCTTCAATCAACTCTCAATCAGGACATCAGCGCCCATTCTGGCCTGCCTATCTGATCCCACACTGCAGCTACAGTGAACTTGGAGTCACATCCTGCAGACCTCTGCGGCCTCCCACTGGCATCAGCATGGAGGTCACATTGCCTAATGCAGCCTGGCTGCTGCTGACCCCTCCAATTCTGCTTCCATCTCACCCATCTGGCAACCACAGACTTTCAGTTCATCAGACTCTCAGAGGCTCTAAGATTGCCTAAAACCTTCCTTTGTTTTTTCCTTTGTCCCATTCCCAATTATTGTTAGTTTTTCCTTCAAATTTCTCCCCTGGGTGCCCTCCCTCTCAAGGTCAAATCCCCTTTTATACGCTCTCTTAGCACCAAGCACCTCTAATTCTTAGCTTTGATTAGAGTTGAGGTTTCAGGCCAGGAGCAGCAGCTCACGCCTATAATCCCAGCACTGTGGGAGGCTGAGGTGGGCAGATCACCTGAGGTCAGGAGTTCCAGACCAGTCTAGTCAACATAGTGAAACCCTGTCTCCACTAAAAATACAAACATTTGCCAGCATGGTGGCAGACGCCTGTAATCCCAGCTATTTGGGAGCCTGAGGCAGAAGAATCACTTGAACCCGGGAAGTGGAGGTTGAAGTGAGTCAAGATCATGCCATCACACTCCAATCTGGGCAACAAGAGTGAAATTTTGTCTCAAAAAACATAAAGAGTTTAGGTTTCAATCTGCTTGTGACATTATTTCTCCTCGAAGGCTATAAGCAACACAGAGAAAGTAAACTTATATAAACATATGAAAGTAAATTTATGTTTACTTTCAGGAGCATCTTCCAAGGACCTAGCATAAAGTGTAGTGACAAGCAGAATGCAAGAATTTATAAGATAAAGTTAGGTTTTTAATTTGATGGATACAGAAATTAGGCCTTATCTACTAGGGTGCAGATTATTAAACACTTGAAAAATATTCCAAGAGGCGGACAGGATATATGTGAGTTACTTCACCATTTCTGATTTGATTTCCATTTCCCCTTTTTCCTCTTTCTCCTTGTTGTTTTCATTTTCAACATTGAGATACAGCTAACATATGTAACATGCACTCATCTACAGTGCACAAGCCAACCTTCTACTATCTTTCGAGCTGTGAAACATCATGATCTACGTTTACAATATTTTCATAATCCTAGAAGGAAAGCCCATACCCTATTACTCTCTCCACACTCTCAGTCACAGGCAACCACTGATTTACTTTCCGTCTCTGTAGATTTGCCTTATTCTGGATATTTCATATAAATAGAGGCTGGGTGCAGTGGCTCACATCTACAATCTCAGCACTTTGGGAGGCCGAAGTGGACAGATCACTTGAGGCCAGGAGTTCCAGACCAGCCTGGCCAACATGGCAAAACCCTGTCTCTACTAAAAATGCAAAAATTAGCTAGGCCTGGTGGCACACGCCTGTATCCCCAGCTACTCGGGTGGCTGAGGAACGAGAATTGCTTGAACCCCAGAGGTGGAGGTTGCAGAGCAGGGAGCTGAGACAGCGCCACTGCACTCCTGCCTGGGTGACAGAGTGAGACTTAAAAACAAAGTATGGTAACCTCCAATTTGAGCCCTTGCTTCATTGGGTGATTTTAGGCAACTTTTTTTTTTTTGAGACGGAGTTTCACTCTTTCACCCAGGGTGGAGTAAAGTGGCATGATCTTGGCTCACTCCAACCTCTGCTCCTGGGGTTTAAGTGACTCTCCTGCCTCAGCC